AAGCTGTATGCTGTAAAGGGCCAGAGCCGAATCAACGTAAAACCAACAGCCAGTCTTAAAAACTAGCCCGGCACACAGTGGACCAACTATGGAGACCAGCAAGGACAACAAAGTAAATGAGCAGCCGCCCAGGCCGGCAGGACGAGGAAAATCGGGCAGGCAAATGGGCAAAAAATGGAAAATGAAACGAAAAACTTTTGTGGCAACAGAATTTTCCCTGTTCGCTGTTGCAACCTGCAAAAAAAGAAAGAGTCCAGAGCGAGGTAGAGAGAAGGGGGAAAATTCAATAAAATAACGCTTTCCATCTGGGCAAAGTAGTGAGAGAGAACGAAACTAAAATAAAGTTTTCCCGAGGACAATTTTCGTGAAATTTGTACAGCCCCCGCACCGCCCCGCCCGCAAGGATGCTCCAGCTAGTACCCGCCCACCACCACCCGGCATTAAAGTTTAACAATGGACGCTGGCGCGTGTGAAAGAATGAAAGAAAGAAAGAAAGAGAAGAAGGAGCAAACGGAAAGAAAAGAAACCGCAAAAGTATTTCAAAGAAGAGGGAAGAAAGCGGCGGTGGGCAGTGGGCGGAGGGCTGTGGGCGGAGGGAGTGGCTCAGGCGGCCATTTGTACTTAAACTGATCTATTGTTGGTGTAGCTCAAGTTCTGGGTCCCCCCGGCTCTGGGGGGGTATCTATGTATCTGTATCTCCATCTGCCTCGATGTGTAAGCGTGCGTTTATCCTGCTTACAGTTACACAGATAAACATTTTTGTTAGGGACAAAAATGCACGAGGACGAAAATAAGCGCAAGCCCGACTGAGGAGCATCCTTGGGCTCGGGCAGGGCATTCTGGCATCCTTTGCAGCGCCATCACCCCGCATTTCGTGTGTGACTTGTTTGAATGCATACTTTGTCTGGAGCTCGGAAAATGTTAAATTCCCAGGCAGTATATGCTGCATGAAGCGCAGAAGATGAAGCCGTTCCAGAGGCGGTGTGAGAAGGGGTGGAGTGAAAATATTTGCCATGGATCTAGCATATGCTAGCAATGTGATTTTGTATCCATTGGCATGGTGTTGTCGTATTAGTCAAGTCAAAGATGTAAGGATACTAAAGGGCTTAAAGAGTATACCCATTTTGGGTATAATTGCGAAAAAAACCCTTGACTTGGACGCCTCTGCCTAGAACAACTTACTATTATCGCAAGATAAATGCCAGTTGCACATAACTAAGGCTTACCCAGAGTCCTTGCTTGGGATGTTCCCTACTACAGATGCTGACTGCTGCTCGGCTGAGTCCAACAAAGCTGCTAAGCCGCCAGCAAGGATAAGTAGTGAGAAAAGCAAATCGAAAAACGCAAAAGGATGGTTGGGGCGAAGGACCTGCATCGGGGCAACCTGCATAACTGATGGCGCGGCCTGGCCAGATGAAGGCCTTCCACTGGATCCTGGATACTGGCATTGCGGCATCCACGGCATCTGCGCCAAAGCCCCGCCTGCCTCGAGCCTCCTGGCTCGACGCACAAAAAGAAGGACTCGCTGCGCCGGCATAGCTCCGCCTCGGAATTTTAATAGAGCAAATTTCAACAACAAGCCGGAAAACGGGAGCAAATAGAAATGGTTAAGAAAATGCGATGCATTTTAGCCTGCGCTGGTAATAAAACTTCAAAATGAAGTTTAGAAAACTTTTTAAATGCCTTTCTCCTCAATGATGGACACTTCTGGAGGGGGAGATGGGAAACCCGGGAAAGTGTGGAAAGTAGGAGGCGTGCTCCCCTGTCGCCTCCGCTAGAAAAAGAAAAAGAAAAAAACTCCCAGTAATAACACAGAGAGAAAAAAAAGAATAAATAAAGCAGGCCATAATAACGATGATGACGCCTACAACACAACGCCCACGCCCACGACCACGCCTCCCTCCTAGGCCTCCTAGGATCCGCGCAAAATGCTAAACGGGCCCCAAGGACCAAACAGTCAGGACACACGGCTCTGCCCGGCCAGCTTTTTGCAAATTTACGATTATGATTATTACAAGTCGACGTCTTCTGCCAAGGATTCGTGTACGCGTGGGTAGAAAAACTCGAATCTCCTTAGCGGGGGGCTGGAGGGGAGTGAGTCTGACATTTGGACAGCTGGCGGAGGCACAAGGAGCAGCATCAAAATCGCAAAATAAGAGGAAGTGCAAAGGAATGCGTCAAGACATTTTAGCACTCTGGCCCACAGCTGAGGGCCCCAAACCGAATGTATAAGCAAAAGTTGTGCCAAAGTTATTACAACTCTTAAAGATGCCAGCCAGGAGGGCCGAAGGATGTGTATCCCAGGGATGTGTCTTCCTTCGAGTGCCGCAAATGGGGTGGTACATCAGGAGATGTGGGTGGGCGGAGACATTGACCTCCAGTTGGTGGGTTGTTGGACAGCGTCTGGAAATCGGCAAATTCCATGGGGCATAATAAACGTAAGATAAAAGTCAAAGAGGGACAAAAATTATATAATAAACTGTACACCGAAATGAAATTATTGCAACGAGGGTGGGCGAGAACTGGGAATGGGGATGTTATCGGGGTTAGGGGAGTTGGGGTAGTGGAAGCGGAAGAAGCGCGGTTGAATTGCCGCCGAAGCTGGGAATAAAAGTTTGATGGGGCTTTACACTTGTAATATTTTTAAGGGAATATAGATTAGTTCTAGAAATCTTTTCCAAAATAAGATCTATAGATAATCTATAATAGATCTTAATAATTTAAGATATATTGTTGAGTCTATCCGAATTTTAAATTGGAATATTTTGTGTACTTTTAATTAAGTTTATATTATTTTTTTCAAGAAGAAAAGATTAAAAGTATGCGTCTTGATACTGTAAAAATTTTTAAGTTTGCTGGGCTGGGTGATGGGGACACACCTATACGGAAAATCACACGTACTCCCCGAAAGGCACAACAATAAGTCAGGAATGCAGGTGGATCGGGAGGAGACCGAGGGGCCTTGTGAGGGGAAAAGCACAAGGCGCTTTGGGCTTATCAGGTTGAGCGCATCAAATTCTCAAAAATAATACACCAAATCATAAAAGCATGACGATGAGCAATTTACAAAAGCCAAATACTGAGAGACGAAAAAGACATGGGGAAAAAAATGGTCTTGGAAAGGGGCATCCGTCCGAGGGGCTTTGGGATTGGGGGAGAAAAAAGATTCAAATCAAGAACGTGCCCCAAAAGACGAAGAAGTGGCCCAGTCAAGACGATTATATACGTTTAAATAGGTATATTTTCGGTTGCGTTTGTGCCTAAAAACAACAAACTAAATGATTAATGATGAACGGCTTTGTCTGCTCCGAGCAGCAGAGTTTCGTTTTCACTTTTTCCCGCTGCCTCTGCAGTACTCTGGGCTACTCCATGCTGTAAGCAATTGAAAATTGAAAATGTTATTTTTCAACTTGAACTTCGATTGCTTGTCGACCCCGCCTCTCGGCCGACTCCGCTCGGCCGTTGATTCCAATTCTTGGATCTCTCCTCGCTTTCTACGACTGGCAGTAATCACTTTGTCATTGCCATCATTTTTCAGCATCAATTGTTTAGCGGCTCGACATAAGTTCACTTCAGAACCCGAGGCAGAACCAGCTTACGTCTAATGGAAATTGAGAGATACACGAACCGAGAGACAGAGACGAGCAGTCCATGTGCATCACAAAAGTATCTCTAGTCGATGGGCCGGGATCTGGTGAAGTGGACTTCCCTGGAATTGGCCCAGAACTTGGCCTGGCCGGCTTTCAAGTCGCACCGAACCGGAGATCAAAGACGAAGTGGTAGACTGGCTTTTGTAAGCTAGTGATTACCTAAAACTCGCATCCATATCGATGAAAATGATTGTTTTGTCTCGCCCCGAAATGTCATACCAATCCAATTTTTTAGTCACAGCTAAATTAAGTTCCATTTTTCGGATTAGTTCTATACTAATTTTTCTTGGCGATGGACTGGCTATTGTTCGTACTAGGGACCTTTTGTTTTGTCCTTTTTCCTTATCACCGAGGTATGGCAAATAATTGGTATCCTATGGTTATAGAAATCGACCCAGGAATAAACGGTTTGAAGGACAATGCAGCTGCATCCATACGGGTGCCCGGAAAAGATTACAAGGCAAATGTAGTGATTGAAAAAGTTATTGTACCAAATTCCAAGGAGGATAATGTTAAAGTAAATGATGCAATATCAATCGGCACAGGAACAAACGGCTTGGATAGTGCTAATGCATCCATAAGGGTGCCCGACAAAGGATACACGGCCTCTGTAGATATTGATAGAATACATAGTGGGCCAAAAGGCACTGATAACCAGAGAAATGCTCCATTAAATGACGCGATACACGTCCACACAGGAACCAGCGGGTTGGACAAGGGGACAGGAGTCGTAAGGGTGCCTGGCAAAGGATACACTGCCTCTGTGAATATTGAAAGAATAAATGTTAAGCCAGTCAGAATCAATTTGCAAGACGTGCTTCAAGAAAATGAATTTTCAACAGCCAAAACAGGAAACACTGAGTCTTCGATAGGTGCAAGAACTCCAATAGGCCCGATACGGATACCTTCCATAGGCGACCCAATCAACAATATCGATCGAGACATAAGAATAATTAGTGAAAGTAAAGTTTCTAATGGCACTGACACCAATAGAGTCGTCGCCAAAGTGACGGGCTCTGGTCCGTCGTGGAAAAGACCCTCAAGGAGGACCACTCCGAGATACATTGCACCTTTTACGCCCATTACCAGGATCACCATATCTTGGGAAGATGATTTTTACCCAAGATCTGGTATGATTCCAAAGCCACAAGACGAGGTAATAAATGACGAGCTAGAGCTTCATGGAGCGCAATATGGATTTTAGAAACCAATGCCGAATGCTTCGAGCTTCGGATTTCTTAAAAAGTAACATGTGTACTAAGTTTCTTTTTGATGGAAATACTATAAAATTAAAAATTAATATACAACTCTTGGCTTGTTTTGATTAGCGCTTGGTCTGAGGCGTCTCACCTTTTTTTGATTTCCCGGTGAGCCAATTAGCCGGATGCGTTTCCAATTGGAATGTTCACTTGACTTTGCCTTGTGTTCAATGGGGCTTTTACGGCTGATGGTGCAGATGTTGCTGCCGTGGATGTTGCAGTTGTTGCTGTTGTCCTTTCACACGACGACGAGCGCGACGATACCGCGGCGTATACGTAATCCACAACTTGAGTACCGTTTAGTGGCTGCACTGGCTTTAGTCGGTGTTGTTGTGGTTGTTGGTGTGCAAGGATAACGGTAATTAACCCGTCGGGGTCGCCTGGCCGCATTGCATGCCAGTTACCAGTTGGCAGTCGCTGGGTTATTGGCCGTTCGGTCGCCCGCTTGACACTTTTCAAACTTTTTCTCCGAGTCGGCCTCCGAGCTCTTCTTATTCTTGGCCCGCGAACACTCACACACTAGCTTGGTAATGGTAGCACTGGGGACACACTTCACTATGCGCTAATTTTTTTTACTCTTCGGCGGCTGCATTTGCTTGCCTCTTACACTTTTTGCCAGGGTCCGCGCGTTGTAAATCTTAGCGCGTTGTTTTTAAAGAAAAATTCCAAAGACGACGGACAACGCGGCAGCGTTCTTCTGTGTGTATGTTGTATTTAATTTTTTTCTTTTTTAGCTGGATTTTTTGTTTGCCGGGTCTGGCGCTCCGGCGGCAGCTCTTCCGCAGAAACAAGCTTCCAAGCAGGTTTACCAGGCAGCCCAGGAGAGATGTGGAGTTCGAGGTGGAGGTGAAGGTGGTTTCTGGCCTGGAGTTGCAGCTGAAGAAGGGGCGCGGCTGCAGCAGAAACAGCAACTGCAACAGCTACAATCTGCAATCTGTTTGTGGCATTAAATCAGTGAACCAAGACGCTCCGCTCAGCTCCGGCCAGATTTGTTTATGGCCATATCCCCTTCTGCCTCGTCGTCGTCGCTGGTTATGCAAATTTGTACTACAGCTGTACGTACAGCTCAATTAACGCGCGATTCTCGCGGAGAACTGGAACTCGGTTTCAATTTCAGATTCGGTCTCGGAATCGGATTCGGTTTCGGTATTGGACTGCTATCGATCGCCGGATCACTGATCACAAAAATCACAAAAAATCATATATCGCCACCAAAGAACAGGACACTGTACACTGAATCGCCAATACAATGTTGTTGCAGGTCTTCTTCGCCCAATGTTGCGAGTCGCTGGTGGACTGTGTTGCTGGTGTAGTGTCGATGGCTTGTTGTTTGAAATCGTCGTCCGCGGCCCGCTGACTTTACGGCTGGCAACGTTTCTCGTTTCTCTCTGGCTGAAACTGAACCGACCGATGGGGCACTGGGAACAGGTCTGATGGAGCTGCCGCAACGCTGCCAGTGGAACGCTCCGAAACCGGACCACTCAAAGCACCCTCTCTCGGCCGCACGAGCTCCGAGTGGAATAGCGTTGAGTGAGACTCAGGGACGAGCCCAGAAACTCACTCGGTAACTCGGAATTTTCGGAGGCAAGTCGGTCAGGTGTTTAAGCCGCTGCCGTTGCTGTTGCCGCAGTTGCGTCCGCATCTAATTGTGAATGATTTATGTGGGTCGTCGTCCCCCACCAGGCGGCATCAGCACCACCATCGGCAGCAGCACCACCACTCTTTTTAGGCAAAAGAAAGTACCATAAGCCGCTGCCGTTGAAGGCTGAAGGTGCATGCCCCGCCGATGCAGTTGGCACAATTAAAATGAATATTCAGATGGCCAAAGTCTGGTATCCGGTAGATGTAGATGTGGCAGCAGCACTTTGGCGATAAGAGATTAAATTTTAGCAAAATTGAAACTTGGAATGATTACATTTCTTTTTGAAAATATCAGCTTTTAATTATTTCTCAATACAAGGAAATATGTCCATTAAGGTAAGTACATTTCAGCTTAAACAAGAAAGCAAAGCTAACTTCGGGCGGAGCCGAAGTTGATATACCCTTGCAGTTAAAACCGGATATATATAGCAAACATCGGATATAGTTGGCCGATCATTATGATTACATCATAATAAAACCAATTAATTACAATAAAAAATCTAAAAAAAAAGTTCCAAGCTTCTATCTTCAAAAATACGAAAGTTGATATTTCTACCAAATACCATTTCCGATCGTTCAGTTACATGGCAGCTATAGGATATAGTCGGCCGATCCTAATGAAATTTCGTAGGTCGGATTAACTGACCAAAAATATAATCTGTACCAAGTTCCAATTTTCTATCTTCAAAAACACGAAAGTTGGGTCATTTCCGATCGTTCAGTTATATGGCAGCTATAAGATATAGTCGGCCGATCCTTATGAAATTTGGCATGTCGCAATGTGTTGCCAAAAATAGCTCTCGTGTCAAATTTGAAATCTCTAACTCTAAAAACACCAAAGTTATACCATTTCCGATCAATCAGTTATATGGCAGCTATAGGATATAGTCGGCCGATCCCGGCCGTTCCGACTTATATACTGCGTGCAAAGGAAAGAAGGGTGTGTGCAAAGTTTCAAGTCGATAGCTTTAAAACTGAGAGACTAGTTCGCGTAGAAACGGACAGACAGACAGACAGACGGACAGACGGACAGACGGACAGACGGACAGACGGACATGCTCATATCAACTCAGGAGGTTATCCTGATCAAGAATATATATACTTTATAGGGTCGGAGATGTCTCCTTCACTGCGTTGCACACTTTTGGACAAAATTATAATACCCTCTGCAAGGGTATAAAAATAAGTTTACTTAAACAAAACTTAAAAATAGTTTGAAAATATTTCAAAGGAATATTTGTTTGTTTTTGTATTACTATCTTAAGAATTATAATTATTATTAATTTATTTTAAATTAAATTATAATTATAAAGTATAAGTAAAAGTATAATTATATAAATAAATATTTTACAATAAGTATTACTATTATAGCACTATTATACTGATTATACTATAATTTTGAAGTTTTATCGAAGAACCAGTTAATAAATGCAATAATACTAGTATATCAAAAAATATTAAAATAAATTCATTATATTCTAAAATGCTTACATGAGTAAAACTGTTAAAAAAATTTAAAAAAAAATTTATAGTATTCTTTAAAATTATAGACAAAAGGATATATATATTCTACATAGGGCACTTAATTTTACAAAATACCATTTGTACATACATAAAAAAACTCATCAAAATGTTATTTTCAAGTAATTTCTTTGGTATAATACCTGCGTAATTTTATATAGGTATTTATGTACATATATAGTAACCAAATGTATATTAATTTGTATGAATCTATATGAATAAATAATTTTTAAACACAATTAAATTTTCATTTAACAGAAACGACAACAATGCTTCGATTTATTAAAGCTTACCACATGGCTTTACCCATAAATCGGATTTGAAATCCGAAACCCTGCATTTATTTTCACTGTGATTCGAGTTGAAAACAGTTGCCGTTCAGTTGCCTTAATCCCGCCTAGGTCGTTGGCTTTAAATTATCAACGGGACAAAGGACACGACGCCTTCCAGCTGGTCAACTCCCAGTGCCCACTGCTCACTGCCCAGGGTCCAGTTCCCAGTGGAGAAGGCCAGGGGGCGATGGGTTGTTGGTAGTGGAAAGTTGGTAGTGAAAAGTGGCCAGGGCACTGGCCATAACTAAAATCGCCGGCACATTAACGGTTCGTGCTGATGGTGACTCAGGCGGCGAGGTCAGAGTCAGACAGGTCTGCCCTGATCCCGTTGGGGGAGGAAAGCACCTGCTTTATTATGCAAAAGTTTGCAGCTCCCGACAGGTGAGTGTCCGTGGAATATTCTGTGCCAGCTTAGTTCAGGAACAGGGAGATGAGAGCCGGAGTGGGTGTGTGTTTTCAGTTAAAGTTTAAGTCTGGCCGAGGTGTGTGCCCCACGATAAACTTTAGGGGCAAAAAATGTGATTCAAAGGCAGGGAGATAATGATAAAGGAAAGCACTTAGAACTTTGCTTTTATCATTAATTAAACTTCATAGTGCAGGTGCCTCCTTTATGCAGAGAGAGGTGAAGAGGCATTCCTTTTCAGGTTCCTTATTGGAAACAAGAGACTTTAAATTATTAAACCGTTTTGTGTCATTCCACCCGGCTAATGTCGCGCGACTGTTCAACTAATTCGAGATGGACAGGGACAGGCCAACACTCATCGGACTAGACAAGTTCGTTGCCTTGGATGGACATCCATCTGAGTGGGCCTGGCCAACCCACCGCCAGATCCCTCTGCTTCCCTGTCAACCCGACTTTTCTTGACAGCTCTGATGCAATGCCCGCCAGAGAGCCTTTCGAATGATTTATGGGAAATGCGCCGACTTGCCAAAGCCCAGGCCCAAGACCAAGCCCAAGCCCAAGCCGAAGACGGAGCGCCGAGCCAAGACAAACAATTGACATTTGATGGATGCGTAACTCGTGCATTCAAATGCTGCTTGGCCCAGGTCTATTTGGCCGAAAGGAGTTGTGGTCCAAGACGACGGGCCAACGTTGATTTGACAGGCCAGAGCATCGGGCAGGCGTCGGCTAATTGTTATTGATAATCGCATGGACAGTGGCCACTGGCCAGTGCCTGTTATGTCTCTGTTTGCCGTCGATTAATTAGTCACTTAATGAACATGATTTTGTGGAGCAGCCGCCACCTTCCACCTTCGGGGACAGGCGCATCCAATTCCAATTCCAATTGCAATTGCGATTTCTTGCCAGCAGAGCCCTGGCCAGCAGTGGCAGTGGCATCTGGGTCTCCTCCTGGGCCTCGCGGCTAATCAGATCCCTTGGCCAGCTTCCACACGAAGACCTTTTGCTCCGCCGTTTGAATTATGCCCGGGCATACTCATTGTCTGCCTGGGTCCTCCGCAAATCACGGCTCCATCCTGCGCCGGCCGCCTAACTGCAAACAAACTTCTCTATTATTGATTTATACCTTTCAACGATTCTCTGTATTTATCATGAGTGCAAGCCACATTTATCATTAATAATGCCGCGCCAGCTTCGCGAGCAGCATCCCCGCCAGTAGATTCCGCATCAGCAGCTCCAGACGCAAAGTGGTAGCCCAAAGGAGTACAAGATGCACTAGTGCCAGGATCAGGAGGAGCATGAGCAGCGGCAAGGGCGGCCGGAGATGCCCAGAGCATCCGCAACTAGCCAGCTGCCAGACCCTGAGCAGTGACAGTGGGTCTAAAAAGTATTGATTTGGAATTCAGTTTAGCATTGAATCGAAATGTACTTACCTCTACAAAATTTGAGAAAAATGCTCATTAAGATGGATATTTTAATTTCTGATTGGCCCTTTCTCGGAAGTATATGGATGAAAATATTACCTAGAGTTTATATATTATTATTATTCCTTATTTTATATATTTGTATGTATTTTGAGTTCTAAAGTAATATATTGAGTTGGCATACCTTTCAAGTATTCAACTTATAGAGGCTGTGCCATTTTCCTCGCCGCTAATTGCCCATTGAGGCTTTGTTGCGGATAAAGGGCCCAATCTATTAGCCTTTGTGCTGGGCCCACTGTGCCAATTGGCCATCTCCCAGGCCAGCACTAGTACTGGCACCCAGTCAGATAGTCGGAAAGTCAGCCAGGCAGCCAGTCAAGCCGGCACCCCCGTCGAGCTGCTGGCTGGAGGAGCTGTCTGGGATGGCTGAGCTCGATTTGGAGGCCAAAGCCAGAAGAGCTGGGGCTTCTTGAAGCTGATGCTGATGCTGACGCTGAAGCTGAAGCTGCTTCAGCTGCGATCGTTTTCCGTACATCATTTCTATGGTGTATTTATTGCCCGGGCCCAATCGCATTGGGCCTCCATTTCCGTTTCTGCGGCTGCGCAAAAGTTCAGGCCAAGATCGGCGACGAACGACGGCGGCGAAATCCATTTTGGGAAGGTGATCTGTGGGATTGTGCTAATGTCAAATCAAGCTGTGCCCCCTTGTTATTTAGCTAGGGCCCAAAAGGAAGAAGCTGCTGTCCGAGAACCGGAGAACCCGAGTGGCGGAGAACCACCAGCCAGCAACTAAACTCCATGTTGATTTTATTGTAAATTGCATTAAAAGATTGCATATAAAGAATTTTATTTATCACCTCGCGGTTGTTAGGGAAAACGCTGTTGGAGACAAAAGCTGTGCCCCTGCCATCGGGGTTGCCTGGCTGTGGCAGTGTTGCATTGTTGCAGTTGTTTGCTGTTGTTTGTCTTGCATTATTTTTAGAGCGCCCAAGGTCCCTCGATCCTAGCCCCCATTCTTTGGCGAAGGTGTCGCGCCAGTTTCGATGCGAATTTCGATTCGATTTGACTCTATTTTTTCCCCTGGCACCTCGTCGATG